TAGTTTGACTCCATCCATAACCAGGAGTGTGTAGTTGACATAAAATCATCTAGCTATCATAGATGTTCTTTGCTTTTTGGAAGAGATCCTATATAAATTCAAATAGACCTCTTCTCTCTCAATATGCCCTGACACATCCTTAAATTGAGAAGGAGGTTAAGGCATCAAATGCAACATGGACAATGAGCTTGGATGGGGTGTGTTTTTTGGCAACAACCAAGTCCTGCTTGTTTTCAGATGGACTGGACAGCTTGGTGCCCTTCCTTTTTGTGTATCTATATGGCAATCACTTGGATATAAGTATAGTTGAAGATTTGTATGGCTGCTAGGGTATCTGATTTTATCTTATCTATACGGGAGTTGGTGGTATGTGTAGAACACAGTACAAAGTCACTTTCCTTTTTTTTATCTCTTAATGGGCTTCATTTTCTTTTTTTTTCTTTTCACTTTCTTTTTAAAAAGAACATTTATTAAGTTTTAAATGATCGAAGAACAAGACAATTGCAAAGACATAATATCCAGATGAGGGAGACCATTAGCCCCACCAGAGGTATCCTGGCTCAGCTCAGTGTCTTAGCCCTCCAGCCAGAGAAATCTCAGGATCATAGTTCTTCTGTACGTAGTGCATCCCTCCAGATACAAGGCCTGGGTACACATTGGGGTTGGGCAGAGAGCCAAAACTATGGGCAATGGGGAAGGGGTGGGGGAGAGGCATGAGGGGAAGAGGGCAGGGGTTTGGTGGGCACCTTAATACTGGGCAGAGGTAAAACAGACCTGAGTCCCACGTGCTATTTTTAGGTGCTGTCAAGTTGGTTTCTACTCATAGTGACAGTCCAGACCCTACATGCAACAGAAAGAAACACTTCCCTGTCTTAAACTTTTGAGCCCATCGGTGCAGTTATTTTGTCCATCGATCTCATCAAGAGTCTTCCTCTTTTTCACTGCACTTCTATTTCACCAAGCATGATGTTCTTTTCTAGGGACTGATCTTTCCTGATAACATATCTAAGGTATGCCAGACAGAGTCTCACTATCCTCTCTTGTAAGGGTCGTTCGGCTGCACTTCTTCCATGACAGATTTGTTTGTTCTTCAGGCAGTCTGTGGTATTTTCATTACTCTTTGCCAGCAACAGAACTAAGTGCATGAATTCTATGCAATCTCCCTTACTTAAGGTCCAACTTTCACATGCATAGGAGGTGATTCAAAACCCCATGGCTTGGGTCAGTGACAGCTTAGTCCTCAAAGTGGCATCATTGCTCTTCAACACTTAAAGATGTCTTTTGTAAACAATTTGCCCAAGTGTAATATGTCATTTGATTTCTTGACTGCTGCTTCCATGAGCATTGATTTTATAGCCAAGAAAGATGAAATCCTTTAGCCCCTTATTTCCTCCATTGGCTCCACTCTGTCCTGGGTGCTGGCCACCCAGATGTGTTTTCAAGAAGCTGTGGCCCCCAAGCCACTGCTTCAGGACTGAAACTCCTAAAAGCTTATTTTCCCTGTACCTTCCTTTGCGTTACCCTGGTCTCCTCAGAGGCCTCAGGTAAGATCCAAAGAAATAGCCTGCCCGTATTGGTGCACAACTTGGCCAAGGAGTCACCCTCATCCCATCAGAGCAGTTTCCCTAAAGTTAGGTACAAGCAGGTTTGATCACCTAGGAAACCGCACTGGGTTCCTTTAGACACATGTCCCATTCTCTACATTGTCCCATACCTTTTACATTGGAAAAACTCTGTGCTTGAAGTGTATTAGTCCGGGTAGACTAGAGAAACAAATCCAGGGATACTCATATATACGTAAGAGAGAACTTTATATCAAAGAGTAATTGTATATTAAGAAACCATCCTAGCTCAGTCCAGATCAAGTCCATAAGTCCATATTAGCCCGTATGTCCAATATCAGTCTATAAATTCCTCTTCAGACTCATGCAGCACATGCAATGGATGCTGAAGACAGGAAGATCACAGGACAGTGGGTGGGAAGTCTTGTGGATCCAGTGGTGGAGGAAGCATCTCGGCGCTGGTGTGAGTCTCCACGTGGCTCCTCCAGCACCAGGGCTCTGGCTCTATCAGTTTAGCTCCATGTGGCTTGTCAACGGGAATGTACCACAGGGAGCGTGTGTGTCCCATCTCCAGGGAGGAAGACAGAAGTTCCCAGAATCCTCAGGAGAAGGCCATGCCCACAGAGGCTTCACTGGCTATGACCTGATTGACAGGCTAGACTCCATCCCATTGCTCACATTGACAGTACATTATGTAACTGCCACAAATACCAAAGATATAAAGCAAATGGAAGCACTAATAGCATCCATATTTACCACCCATGATCTCAATTGGGCAGACATTCAGGCTTTGAACGTATCCTGCTGAGAAAACACATCTAATTCTCATGTGCCTAACAGAGCATGAAATGTACAAAGCTAAGGCTGAAGTTCAAAATTATACTGTGGCCTGAAGTTCACAACTATACTGTGTTTAGATGAATTGATACAGTGGCTTGTTGAGGATGGCAATGGACTAGGTTGTGTTTTCTTCTATAGTACGTAGGATTACCGTGAGTCAGTACTAACTCAATGTCACTAAACACTGGTCAAAATTCATTATTCCCAGTCATTACTCTGCCCCACAACCAACTAGTGGCCATTAATAATTATTGGTGTCTATATATTTACCTATTCTTATTTTATATAGATTGTGCAAGATTTTGTAATTGACTTATTACATGCTACAATGTTTTCAAGGCATATCTATTGGGTAGCATGCCTTAGGACTTCATTTCTCTTCATGGTTGACTAGTATTCCATTTATACCTTAATGGGAATTTAGATTGTTCCCACAGTGAATAGTGCTGCAAAGAACATAGGTGTATATATGCTTCTGTTCACATTGTGATATTTATATCTCTGGGGTTTATACATGGGAGTACAATTTATGGACCATAGGGGAGTAAGTACTGTTTTTAATTTTTTTGGAGAAATTATACGATTTCATTTTAATTTACATTGTATCATGATTGTACACCATTTTTAATTCCCATGAGTGAACACATCCTCAACAACATTTGCATTTTCCAAGTTTTAAAAAAAAATCATACAATTCTACTCATGGGAGGTGGTATCTCATGGCAGCTTTGATTTGTATCTTTATAAAGGCTAAGAAGGATGATCATCATTTCATGTGCTTGTTGGCTGCCTGAATAGCCTCTTTGGTGAAAAGTTTCTGTTCAAGCCTTTTGTACATTTTTATTGGGTTATTTATATATTTGTAACAATATATATACACATATCAGATGTATGGTTCCTGACATTTTTTTCCAAGATTGCTTTTTACTTTTTATTAAAATATTGATGAAAATATTTTAATTTTCATAAGATCCGTTTTGTTTTCTTCAGCTCATACATTTTTTACATGTTAATCTATAATTTAAAAAATAGCTGAATGGATCCCATAGTTTTCCCCCTATATTTTCCAAGAATGTCATGGTTTTAGATTTTGCATTTAAGCCCTTAATCCACTTTGAATTCATTTTTTTTGCATTACTTCAGGAATGGATCCTTTCTGCTTGCTTTTTCTGTAGATGGTAATCTAATTTTCCCAGCACCATTTATGAAGAGGCTGTTCTTCCATATTGAATGCACTTAGAAACATTGTCAAATATCACTCGATTTCTAAACTTTCAATTTAATCCCTTTGGTGGCATAGTGATGTTACATGGTGGGCGACTAACTGCAAGGTCAAAAGTTTGAAACCACCAGCCTGTCCAAGGAACCAACTCTGCACTCCATTCACTTGTAATAATCAATTCATCTAGATTGCATGATTGCTTAATTTCAGACGGCAGAAATGCTTAACCTCAATGTTCTCATACATAGTATTAGTTGTTGGTGTGCATAGTTGAAGAATAATTGTATTAACCGGTCTTCTTTGTAGTTGTACGGATATTATCCTATCACTGACAGTGTTGTACTTTGAGACAGAGATGTTCTCTTTAATGATAAATGTTACATCATTCCAGTTCAATTTGTCATTCCTGAAACCATAGATCATATGATTGTTGGATTCACCATTGCCAATACAACCCATTTCAGCTAACTAATGCCTCTGTGAAAGAATCCCTCTTTGTGTTTAGGATTCTACATTTGGTTTGTATGCATATATGTGTTTTATAAAAGTTCCATCATCATGTATACACTGTTTAATACCCTGTGTTTCAAGCACTAATCTATGATGCCTTTTCTATTGTGTACTAAACTTAAAGAAATTCATTTACTGACAGTGTAATATTGTCACATGCAGTTAGCATTTTTTTGAAAACTCCCTTCCTGTTGTACACTGACACAGTTACCAGATTTTTAGTCTTCCTAATATCAGTAGAAGAAATAGAAGGAGCCCTGCTACTACTGTGGATAACCATTCAGCTACTAAACAAAAGGTCAAAAGGTCAAACTCACCAGTAACTCTACAAGAGAAAATGTGGCATCTTGTGTCTACTAAAACTGAGAGCAATAGTTTCTTTCATTCCTAACATACATAGGAATCTCTACATTTTAAGTTCTTTTAAGTTTGCTGAGGAGTAAAACTAAAGGCTTTCCCATATTCATACATTTATATGGATTATCTTCACTGTGATACCTTTATATGATTGTTAAAGGAGTATGAAGGCGGTTTTCTGACTCTTCTTATCTTCATAAGGCCTCTCTATACTGTAAACTCCTCTATACTTACTGAAGGATGAGGACCAATGAAATGCTTTTCCATGTTACTTACTACTTATAAGGCTTCTGGAAAAACAGCATGGTGCCAGAAGATGCCCACCTCTGACTTCAGAAGGAAGACAGAGATTCACTATCCTTATCATCATCCCAAAGTTGATTCCCAAACATTCTTCCACCTTCTACTTTTTAAACAAATTTGACAACAGCCACCCTTCCCAGAGTATTCTACTTCTCTACCAGGTTTGGTGATTCATTACAGTAGCGCCACAGAACTCAAAGACCATATTCAGAATGAATGAGTTTTATTTGCAAAGTTACAGATACAGTTCAAGTTCAAGGATACACTCAACATGGACTAACAGAAATGACTTGAGATACTCTCACACTGGGTTCCAGTCAGTATTTTACTGTGCTGCCTTCTGCCGCCAGGTACTGCCGTTCTTGGGGAAGTGTTATAGTTCTTTACAGTGCTGACAAATTCCTGAAGGCACATCACTCTGTAAGGAGTCTCTTGCCCCAAAGCAGTCAGCTCTTCAGGGTTGGCAAACCACACTCCCCCAAGTACTTGAGGAAACCCACTCCATCAATGACCATCTTGTCCAAATGTGCTCACCTCTCTTACCCTTCGGTTGGCAAGCCCACTTGGTTGCCTTGTTCTGTAGGCTGGGAAGCCCATGTCATCTTGTGCTAGTCTCCTGGTTTTGCTACTGTGTGTTTCTCTCATGTTCCTGTTGTCATTTCACACTGTATCACACTCCTTCTCCTCTATGACTGAGCTTTGCCTTCTGGGCCTAAGGGTTCTCAGTGCAAGGATCCTGAATCCAAAGGATACACCCTGACAGCCTTTTTGATATCAGTGACGTCCCCTTACACATCTAGGATTGGACTTTTGAAAACTTGGTGGATGGCAGAAATGACCAATTCACTACAACAATTCAATGTACCTTGGTTAGATAATCCACTGCAATCATTTTGTGGGAGTTATAAGACTAGGATTATAAGGAACGTTTGATAGCAATTCACTGTAATGAAGGTTGTGTCTACTCTGAGATCTTATATGTGTTGTAAGAGATGAGGAAGAACTAAAAGCTTTTTCACATTCCTTACACTTATAAGGCCTCTCTGTATTATGAGTTTTTATATGTGTGGTGAGGGATGAGGAATGATTAAAAGCTCTCCCACATTTCTTGCATTCAAAAAGCTTTCCACCACTGTGAGTCTTTTTATGTCCAGTGAGTTGTGCAAACTGCTTAAAGGTTTTCCCACATTCTTTACAGTCATAAGGTCTCTCCTCGCTGTGAGTTCTTATATGGGTCCTGAGGTGTGAGGACCGACTAAAGCCTTTTCCGCATTCCTTACATTCATAAGGCCTCTCTCCACTGTGAGATCTTATATGTATAGTGAGAGATGAGGAAAAACTAAAGGCTTTCCCACATTCCTTACATTCATAAGGCTTTTCCCCACTGTGGGTTCGCATGTGTGTAGTGAGGGATGAGGAACAAATAAAGGCTTTCCCACATTCTTTACATTCATAAGGCCTCTCTCCACTGTGAGATCTAATATGTGTAGTAAGAGCTGAAGAGTGACTGAAAGCTTTCCCACATTCCTTACATTCATAAGGCTTCTCTCCACTGTGTGTGCGTACATGTGTAGTGAGCGATGAAGAACTGCTAAAGGCTTTTCCACATTCTTTACATTCATAAGGTTTCTCTCCACTGTGAGTTCTTATATGTCTAGTAAGGTGTGAGGATAGACTAAAGGCCTTGCCACATTCCTTGCATTCATAAGCCCTCTCTCCACTGTGAGTTCTTGTATGTCTAGTGAGGTTTGAAGACCGACTAAAGGCTTTCCCACACTCCTTACATTCATAAGGCCTCTCTCCACTGTGCGTTCGTATATGTGCAGCAAGTATTGAAGAACGACTAAAGGCTTTCCCACATTTCTTACATTGAAAAAGCTTCTCTCCACTATGATTTCTTATGTGTCTAGTAAGGCTTGAGAGATAACTAAAGGCCTTCCCACATTTCTTACATTCATAAAGCCTCTGTCCATTGTGACAAGGTTTCCCATAGTCCTTACAAAGTTTCCCTCTCACATGAAGTTTTAGGTAAGAAGGACATCTGCAGTCTTCTCCACATGCCTTACAATGATCACGTTTATAGTCAGTATGAGATCTGATATGATGTTGAAAAAATGAACGATCCTTGAAGGATTCTCCACACTCAAAGCATTCAAAAGGATTCACTTTAGCAGTTGTTCTTTTGAGCCTAGTAAGATTTGTAATAAAGCTGGAAATGTTTCTACATTGGTTACCTTCTTCACTTTTATGTACTTTATCATCTTCACTTTCACAGAGGCTCTCCGCTGTATATACTCTGTTAAAAACAGGGAGCATATTTTTAGAATTCAATGTGTTTCAATTTTCCAATCACCATACACAGTAAATGTGATATTTCTCCCTAGATTGTCTTTTGTTGCACACACTCAACTCATAGAGGAAATGATCATTAAAGTCACAATATTTTAAAATAAAAGCTTTCTAATATTAGGTATAGGTCAATTATGTTTGAAATATTATATTCGATATCATCTGATTCACATTTCTGGAAATATATTATGAAAATTATGACCCCCTTTAGATATAGATTTACACACATACAGTAGAACCCCAGTACTCAACCACATCAGTACTTGACATAATTGGATTTCAACGTGAAATGTCGAGAAAATTTTGCATCAGAGTTTGAACAAAACATCGGAATCCAACTGAACACGCGTGGTTTTTATAAACAAAAACCGTTTGTGTCTCGGTCACTTGGTATTAGTTGGTGTTATTAGTACGTGTTGTTTAAACCTTGTGCAGCTGTGTTCTAAGCCTTTTGCTTTAATTTTCTTACTTCTTGTGCCTTTTTGTACTGTTTTTAGATAAAAAAACATGGGTCCTAAGAAAGAGTTTTTTGAAAAGAATTATCATGATAAGGAACTGGTTAACCGTGTTATTGATATTGTTCATGATAATTTAGTAAACCCTTTTAGAAAACAGTTAAGGAAATGCCAACAGATCACATTGGGCAGATTTTTTTTTAAGAGAAAACCAGCCAGGTCCTAGTGAAAAAGGCAAAGAAGGAAAAAAGTCCTGAAAAGCAGATACCTATTGATTTTATGGAAGAGGACTCCCCTTCCAAATAATGACTCTCCATAACTCTGCTTAACATCCATGTCCACAGATTCAGATTCTCATCAATCTGAAGGTATGGGCCATACTGTATTTGTTACAAACTTTTTTAATGTTGTGTTTCTTACTTCAATTATATGATTTAATGCTGAACTTATTTACTTTGAAATTTCTGTGTAATGTTTTGTATAAAAAGGCACGGTTAGGGTAAAAACTTGGTGGTCAAGAACAGATTAATCTATTTTCAGTTATTTCTTATGGGAAAAAATGATTCGGAACTTGACTGCATCGCATTTCAACGCTCTTTCTAAAACAGATTAGTGTCAAGGTTCAGGGTTCTACTGTACACACAAATGTCATGAAACCTTATATGCTCTCCTGAAGCACTGTTGTCGACTGTTACGTGAATAATATTCACCTCACATGTCTTCCCTGGTTGTTCGGTAGTTCAATATCATGGAATTCACAGATGTCTTCTAGCATAGAGGACCAGGAATCATTCTTCGTAGATGATGCTTGTCTATTATTATCCTGTTTAAAAACTGAACCAATAATTTTGAGTTTTACAAGATAAAACAAGACAGAAATTTTTATAAGAAAAATAACACATATGAAAAGACTGACTTTGTAAGGGATCCCAATAAAAGGATTTAATAAGAAGAAAGAAAGAAAGAAAAAAAGACTGACTTTGAGGCATTTAACTATCATAGAACTGACAATGGTCAAAAGTGTAAGAAATTAACTAACAAATAATTCCATGACAATTGAAGGTGATGGTGATATAAGTAAGATGTAATGAGAAAAGCCAAATTAAAAGTATTGCAAACATTTTATGTGGATAAAACGAACAAAATGCATTGCCATTAAATTCCAAATTGGAGTGACCTTTTAAGATAGAGTAGAACTACCCATTTGGGCCCAAGGCTGTAAATCTTTACAAGAGCAGATAGCTTCATCCTTTCTCCTTGGAGCAGCTGGTAGGTTTGAACCACTAACCTTTTGGTTAGCAGTCAAACATGTAACACACTATGCCAAGAGATGTGTATGTGTTCAACAGTAATATCAAACCAAAAAATGGACAAGTTTCCCATAAAGACAAAAGGTATGAGGTCTGATGAAAAGTCAGTTATATATATAGAAGTTGTACATGTTCAAAACAAACGAATACTTTGAGTTCACTGATTCAAATGTAATTCTACCCCAGCAGGGCAGATCCATCAAAGCAATCCTGCCTTCCTAGTGCTCTCTGACATTAGGGATCTGGGTTAATCCTATATCTACTCTCTCAGGAGCTTTCCCTTGAACCCAAGCAGAAAAATTAATATGGTTAAAATGGGGAAAGTGAAACCAAGAGGGAAGATATACAAGGGCATTTCCCTGATGCTACGCATATACAAGGGCATTTCCCTGGTGCTATTGTCTACCACTTGCGTGTCACTTTGTTGCACTGTAGTGGCATGCATGTTGCTGGGATGCTGGGAGCTTTGTCACTAGTATTTCAAATACCAGCAGGGTCATCCAAAGTGAACAAGTTTCAGCAGAGCTTCCAGACTAAGCACAGACTATGAAGAAGGAAAAAGCTGTCCACTTCTGAGAATTAGCTACTGAAAAATTGATGGATAGCATCAAAACACTGTCATAGATTAAAAATCTCATGAACAGGAGAACATTCTCAGAGACTGTTGTAGAAGATGAGTACCTTAAGTCAGAAGGCACTTCAAATATGACTGAGGTGTGTGCCCTGCCTTCTCAGAGTAGAGTCAACAATTAGGGTGTAGACAGAGTAAAATCCACAGGAGTAAAGACTGGATGAGGCAAAACTCAAAATAAGAAGAAACAGCCTTAAACATCTGTTAATAATTGAAATTTGGAATGTACAAAGTATGAATCTAGCAAAATTAGAACTTCTCAAAAATGAAACAGAATGCATAAAGATCGACATTCCTGGCGTTAATGAGCTAAAATGGACTGGTATTGGACATTTTGAATCAGAAAATGATATAGTCTACTATGCTGGGAATGACAGATTCAAAAGGAATGGTGTTGGATTCATCATGTAAAAGGACATTTCAAGATCTGTCTTGAAGTACAATGCTCTCTGTGATAGAATAATATCTGCATACAAAGAAATCAATCAATACAATTATTATTCAAATTTAAAGCTAGTGATGCATAAATTGAAGAATTATACCAGTCTTCAGACTGACACTGATCAAATATGACATCAAGCTGCATTGACAATTATTGGCAATTAGAATGTAAAAGTTAGAAACACTTGTTGGAAAATATGGTGTTGGTGATAGAAATAGCTGGAGAAAAAATAATAGAATTTTTCAAGACCACGGACTTGTTCATATCAAACACCTCGTCTTGTTTCCATAACACAAATGGCACCTATTCACATGGACTTAACAAGATAAAATATACAGAAATCAAATGGACCACGTCTGTGGGAAGAGAGGATGGAGAAACCCAACATGAGCAGCTAAAACCAGGACAAGGGCTGATTGGAATACACCATCAATTGTTCATGTGTTAGTTCAGGCTGAAGCTTAAGAAAATTAAAAGAAGTCCACAGGGCCCAAAATGTTACCTTGGGTCTATTCCACCTGAATTTCGAGAACATCTCAATGACAGATTTGACTCGTTGAACACCTATTACAGAGGAGCTGTGGGATGATACAAAGAACATCATACACGAAGAGAGAAAAAGTAAGATTATGGTGAAGACCATTTCACAACAGTTACATTGACAGGGGCTGCCAGAGGTTCAGGGGACATGAACAAGGACATGGAACATGGGACATGGAACAAGGGATACGATTGGTGAAGTCAGATGGATCTTGGCTGAAAACAGAGAATATCAGAAAAGTTGTGTTTCACTGACTCTGCCAAGGCTTTCAACTATGGAGTTGAATAATCCTGAGAGGAATGGGAATCCCAGAACACTTGATTGTATTCCTGTAGAATTTGTACATGCGTGAAGAGGCGATTTGGGGAACAAAACAAAGGAATACTGCATGGTTTACAATCAGGAAAGGTGTGTGTCAGGTGTGTATCCTGCCACCAGGCTTATTCAATTTGTATGCTGACCAAATAATCAGTGAAGTGGAATTATATAAAGAAGAATGCAGTATCAGGAATGAAGGAAGGCTTATTAGCAACCTGTGATATGAAGATGGCACAACTTTGTTTACTGAAAGTGTGGAGGACTGGAAGCACTTGCTGTTGAAGATTCAAAACTGTAGCCCTCACTATGGATGACAGCTCAATGTAAAGAAGACCAATAAGTCGGAACCAATAAGAACATCGTGCATTATAAATGGAGAAACGGTTGAAGTTGTCAAGTCTTTTGTGTTGCTTGGATCCACAATCAATGCTCATGGAAGCAGCGATCAAGAGTGTAATGGATAAATTGCATTAGGTAAACCTGTTGCACAAGACCTTTCTAAGGTGTTGAAAATCAAAGATACTGCTTTGAGGACTAAGGTGCACCTAACCCTAGGCATGCTCTTTTTAATCATTTCATATGCATATCAGAGTTGGACGTTGAATAAGGATGACGGAAGAAGAATCGATGCATTTGAACTGTGCTGCTGTCAAAGAATACCGACCCTCTCATGGACTGCCAAAAGAACCAACAAATCCATCTTAGAAGTACAGCCCAAATGCTCTTTAGAGGCAAGGCTGGATGGAGAGAGTGTCTCACGTTCTTTCATCATGTTGTCAGGAGAGGCCAGTCTCTGGAGAAGGGCATCATGCCTGGTAAATGAGAGGGGCAGTGGGAAAGAGGAAGGCCCACTACCTACATGATGGAATGACACAATGGCTACAACAATGGGCTCAAACAAGGGAACAGCTGTGAGGACGGCATAGGAGAGGGTGGTGTTTCCTTCTCTTGTACATGGGTCGCTCGCTGTAAGTCGGAACCAACCTGATGGCACCTAACAAGAGCAACATGCAATTTTAGTCTTCATGGTCTCTGGAAATTGAAGGGGAGTTTACTTTTAACAAAACAATCACATCAAACATGGTAAAGTGCTCACAATGTTTCAAACCACTTATCTCTCTTTTCCATAAAGTAAGCTGTGAAGCCAGTGCTCACACTTAAAACATTTTGATGCTCGAAATTTTAACCTTATAAGGCCTGAATTTTTAATTTCAGGGGAAAAAAAGTTTTGTTTTTATTCTTTACTTTCATAGTTATCAATACATATACATTAATATATACATTTCACTAAATGTTATGAAAATGTCCCACTCGGCCTTATAAGGTAAACATGACAAAAGAATGTAATGCATAGATTTTTACCTCCATGAGGAAGTCATTGGAGTCCAGCCACCTTGAGGACAGTGGCAATACATGTCATTTTTTCCAATGTAATCAGATTCCTAAACTGAAATCCTATCAGAAAATGGATGAGTACACTATATTCATTCACTAGCGAAATAAGAAAAAGGGAGCCATCCTTACCTGAGGCAAGGTTCCTGAGGGTTTCCATCATCACATCTCTATAGAGTTTCTTCTGAGAAAAATCCAGCAAAGCCCATTCTTCGTGGGAAAATTCTACAGCCACATCCTCAAAAATCAGCGAGTCCTAAATTGTCACATATATTTTGAGTCAGCAATGTAATGCAGACAATTACATGGCTCTTCTATCCATCAACCCTCATGTGATGTTTTATACTTCTGGACTACGAGCCTGTGGCTATAATCCGATTTGGGGGGGGGGGGAGGTGTTCTCTGCTAAACTAATGGATAGAATTAGGGTGGGATTAAGACTTCACATCAGTATCAGGCGTGAACCAGGTCAGCCTTTGTTTCCTTGGGAGCACATGGTTGGGTAAAATACAAACCAAACGTCCAACAGAGCCATTCCTCAGTGTATGAGAGTCATTTGGGGCACAGAGAGGAATCAGCGGACCAGCTGGAAGAGCACATCCAGGATTTCTATCTGAAGTGGCAGAGGCCACTGAGCCCAGATGTGCCAGAGATGGTAGCAAGGAGACTCAGAGTGTGGGGCCAAGACTGCCAGCTCCTCATCTGGCCTGGACCAAGGAGCTGTGAGCCTTAGCAACCAAGGGCTACAGAGTCGGAAACCAAGGTACAACGTGGTTGCTAGCGATGTCGCTGTGGACCACTGGCTGGTCCTTATTGTTTACTCATCCTGACTTGTGGTCACGTATTAACTTCCCGATCATTAATGGGACATCAGGATGGGGGGGGGAGGCTTATTAACAACCTGTGATATGCAGATGACACGGCCTTCCTGGCTGAAAGTGAGGAGGACTTGAAGCACTTGCTGATGAAGGACGGCAGCCTTCAGTATGCATTATGACTCAATGTAAAGAAAGCAAAAACCCTAACAACTGGACCAATGGCTAATATAGGATAAATGGAGAAAGGTTGCAGTTGTCAAGGAGTTTCTTTTGCTTGGATCCACAATCAATGCTCATGGGAGCAGCAATCAAGAGATCAATGGATGCATTACATCGGGTAAATCTGCTGTATAAGACCTCTTCGGGGTATTGAAAAGCAGGGAATAAAGTGTGCCTGACCCAAGCCATGGATTTTTAATTGCCCCATATGCATGTGAAAGTTGGCCATTGAGTAAGGAAGACCATAGAAGAAATAATGTATTTGAATTGTGGGGCTGCAGAAGAACATTGAAAATACCATGGACTGCTAAAAGAACAACCCGATCCATCTTGGGAGAAGTATGATCAGAGTGCTCCTTAGAGGCAAGACGCCACCTTACTAAATACTTGGGACCTATTGTCAGGAGAGACATATTGTCTCTGGAGGAGGACCTTATGCTTGGTAAAGTGGAGGGACAGCAAAAAAGAGGATGGCCCTCAGGGAGACGGACTGACGCAGTGGCCGCAACAATGGGGCTCAGGCATGGAATAAATGCGAGGATGGCCCAGGACACTGCATGTTCTAGTGTGCACAGGATCACTATGGGTCAGAACTGACTTGATGGCACCTGGTAACACAAAGAGTTACAATCTTGGATACCTACCAGGACAGTTCTACCCTGTCCTAGGGGATCGTTATTAGGTCAGCATTAACTCGATGGCAGTGAGTGAGATGAAGCATATAAAAAGACCTCCACCTACAAACAGACCACATGCATGAAAGACTAGTGAGGTGAAGGGGTGGAAACAACATAAGGGGGTTTTATGATAGTTTGATGATTTTAGGTCAACTTCTATTTTTATGGAAGTGGAGGGGTGGAATCCAACCTGTCAATCAGGTCACAGCCTGATGATGCCTCCTTGGGGTGTGCGACTGTCTTATAAGAAGAAACTGGGAATCTCCTCACTTTCTGTGACTCTGCCTTCCTGCTAGCAGGCCTTGGCCTCCAGGGGTGGCCCCATGTGGGCCTCCAACCTTGAGATCTGTTGGCCTCCTGCCATGTTTCCAACAACTTGGATCCATGTGACTGCACTCACTGGCCTCCTGCATTCCGGATCACCTCACTGTATGCTCAGCATGCAGCTCTCTGAGTCTGACGAGGGCTCTGGCTTGCATCAGACTTGTGGACTTGAGTCTGACGGAGAGAAGGAGCTGTTGGCTGAAGAGAAGCACTGAGAAGCACCACTGATTGTATCCCTAATGTTTCGTGATCCTGACTTGTGGTAATCTACTAACTTCACTAATAAACTCCTATGATTCAGAGGGCTGTGTGTGAGTTCCATGTGGCCACTGCAATGGATTATTGAACCCAGGAATATTATGGAAGGAATGTTCCCTCTCAGAATAGGGTAAGACTGGTGTAGAAAACCTTCACAGAGCCATAACAAAAGAAGAAGTAGATCAAATCATGAAAAAACTCCCAACAAAAAAAAGCTCAGGACCATAGGGCATCAGTAGGGAGTTTCACCGTTACCAGTTCACACAAGAATCGGCACAAGCTCTACACAGACTGTTCCGGGATACAGGAAAGGAGGCAAGCTCCCAAACCCACTTTAGGAAGTGAGCATAACCCTGACGCCAAAGTCAGGCAAAGACGAAATTACCAGAGCAGAAGATTACTAATGTAGATGTAAAAATTCTCTATAAACCTTTAGCCAAGAAAACATATAAAGAGAGAAATAGGTCACAGTCCAGTGGGATTCATACCAGGTATGCAAGGATAGTTTAATATTAGAAAAACATTCGATGGGATTCACCATATAAAGAAAACAAAGGAAAAGGACTACATGATCATAACAATTGATCCAAAGATGAAGCTTTCTACTATCATAAAAAGTTACAGTCTTGGAAACCCACAGGGGCAGTTTGGCCTTGCCCTATAGGGTTGCCATGAGTTGATATTGATGTGACAGTGAATGAGAATGACATCTCTAGGCACAGGTAGGTTGGGAGGAAGGACTATAATTTAGAATCATGCTTCTCACATACCTAAATATCTCAAAGAAAATTATTTGCTAGTATAAAAAAATGTTTTTGGAGAGTCCAGATATGATCCACTTGGACTCACTTTCCAGTCTCATTCCTTTGATGAGGTTAAAAGAGTGTCAAACCTCCAGAGGGACCCATAGAAATTTGGAGTTCTCCTCTCCAAAGTCACCCTCCCTTTCTTTATCAGGCGGGAAGGCAAAGCTATAATTTTGAAATACAGAACATGCTCCAGTATCTGGGAGTTGCCAAGAATACTGTCTACAGTAATGGGACAAGGATGGCTCTGGAGGGTTTGGAACTCAGCCTCTAAACCCAGAGCTGCTCCATCTTTAGGGTCCACTTAGAAGATGTTGTTCAACACGAAGCGCCAAGGGCCCAGCTGGCACTGTTAAGGCTCCATAGTGCTGACAGTCATAAATGCAAGGTAATCCCAGGCACCAGGTGCCTGAAAAACCACATGTGAAAGGAAAGGCTCGGTGACAGTAGGGCAGGGCCTTAGGATGTTTCCCAGGATTCAGACCTTGGTTTCCTCTGCTACCTTTTACTTAAAAAAGGAAAGAAAAAAAAAAAGATCACAGAGCATAAAACAATTGGTTCCCAATCAAATCATACTTAGCCTCACCCCCTTTATACTAAGATGACCCA